GGCTGGAGCACCTCCCTTTTGAAGACAGGCTCAAAAAGTTGTGGCTGTAGGACAAGGGGTAATGGCTTTAAACTTAAACAGAGGAAGTTTAGATTAGATGTAAGGAAGAAGTTCTTCACAGTGAGGGTGGTGAAGCACTGGAATGGGTTGCCCAAGGAAGTTGTGAATGCTCCAACCCTGGCAGTGCTCAGGGCCAGGTTGGACAGTGCCTTGGGCGACATGGTTTAACATGAGGTGTCCCTGCCCATGGCAGGGGGGGTGGGACAAGATGATCTTAAGGTCCTTTCCAACCCTAACTATTCTATGATTCTATGATTCTTTGCTGACTTAGAGTCCCTTGGGGCTTTGAAAGCTTGGTACACTGTGGTCAGGAGGATATTTCAGGTAATAGATAATAATAACAGCAAAAAAGTTTTATCCTGAGATGCTGCTCTCAGGTCAGCCTAGAAAAGCCCGAAGAGGACAAAATGTCAGTAAGGCTTATTCCTTTAAAAGTTTATTGTTTTAGTTTAAGATGGGTTTATATTATCTTTTTTTACAGCTAGTTTTGTTTCATTGTCTTTTTGAACTGTCTAGAAGGGCTATGAACCATATGCCATCCTTGGTGCAGAGCATCCCGTGAGTATGGACAACATTCTGGCTGGAAGGGGATGAGGTGATATGGGGGGTCTTCACAATTCTTGCCACTAGTGGGAGGAATTCCAGTGACAAACATTATGTTCTTGTTTAAAAACAAATAAATAAACCAGTCTTTTCTGGCAGAGGGAAACAAATGTAATGCTTCAGGACTTCATGATTCTAGAGTAAATGCCAAACAGCTTGTGAACAGATGGGAGGTTCCAGATCAAATTTGCTTACACTGAAAGAAAACTTTCCACAAAACTAATTAGAACAGCTGCATGAAACAGCTGCCAGAATAGGAAAGGGAAAATAAAGAGATAAAATGGGCAGCCATTACCTCACTGATGGGTGAATTAGGTGTTTGACCTGTTGTTTACTCAAGCATGACAGTGAGACTTATTTCTGATGCGTGTAAGGCCTCCTTGATTCAATAGGATCATCCTTAGAAGTAAGACAGAGGAAGAAAAAGGACAGTGCTTTCCAGTTAAGAACTTGATATCTAGCCTACAGAGATCTAAGGAAGTCCTCTGTCCCTACCTATCTGTCCCTTCCTGTACACACACACATACAGACACACAGTCTCACACCAACTTCACTGACTTGGTGAATCTGCCACCTCTCTGCTTCCCAGTTCATTTCAGCATCCTTATCAGCAAAAGCTGAGGATAATGTTTTCTTCTAACTTGAGAAATAAAATCAAGATGAGGAGAGGAGTAAAATACCAAGTTCCTAGATGTTAAACGTCAATAGGTGCCCCTTATGCAACGTCAATAAACAATACATACCACAGCACAGCCTGGACATGTATTTCCATTTTCACAAGACCTCTGCCTCGAATGAATCCCTCCACCACAATTCACACTACATTTAGTCCAAGGACCCCATGAAGACCAAAAAATCGGCAACGGACATGGACTGTTCTCATTACAGAATCTGAAAGAAGAAAGAGCATCGCTCAAAAAAATATCCAGGTCAGCACATCCAAGGGACAAAGTGGTGACGGACCAAAACTGTGCACTGCATTTGGATGCAACTCATGCATGCACAGAAAGCCGGCTGAAGGCTGACACAGCAGCCAGATTAGCAGTATCTCTGGTCGCAGTAGAGAACTGTACCCTTTGTACAGAACAGAGAGTGGTTAACCAGGCTAAAATCAGTGAGACGGATGGAGTAAATTGTCCATATTGAGTTTTTGAAAGTGCTCTAATCTCAAAACTTTTATGCAGTGAATTCACAAAAGAGCTCATAAACTGAAGCCCATGTGTCACAGAGAGTAGATGGTAAATATTTTCAATGGGATTACTAGTGGAAGGTCAAATCAACAGTGATTTGTCAGCAACAGCAGGTGCTAAACATTGACAATCATCTTCTCTTCACATGATCTGGCGCCTACTATTGCCTGGATCCTAAGAAAGCAGTGTTTGCAGCTGGAGCTGAATTAGATACTCTCTGCGCCTAAATGCAGGCCTCAAATTAATGCTATTTCCTGTTACCTTTTCAAGGGGTAATTTTAATTTTTTTCAGTTTTTTAATCAATATTATTCTCAAATTGAATCACACAGGACTGCAATTGACTCAGATGTAGTCTTTGAAACCCTCAAAAGGACTATTGTGAATGGCCACAAATCAAACCAAACATTAAAATGTCCTGAATCAAGGAAGTTAAATGAATTGCCCTTTGTATTCTGAGAAATGCAGATAGATCTGTCTTAGGTGACCACTCAACGGACAAGCAACAGCCAACTGCCAAGCAGAGGTGGCCTTTAATGAAATGTCAAACCTGGAAACCAAATTGGGATGCCTTGAAAGCTGTGTTTAATGTGGGGCTTGGCTTGAAGAGGTGTGTCCTGGGTTCAGCTACAGCAGTCATTTTTCTCCTTCTTAGTAGCTGGTGCAGTGCTGTGTTTTTGACTTTCAGCCTGGGAACAACGCTGATTGATAACACCGATGTTTTTAGTTGTTGCCCAGTAATGTTTACTCCGACCAAGGACTTTCTCAGTCTCATGCTCTGCCAGGGAGGAGGGGAAGCCGGGAGGAAGCAGAGACAGGACACCTGACCCAAACTGGCCAAAGGGGTATTCCATACCACAGCACGTCATGCCCAGTATATAAACTGGGGGGTGTTACCTGGAAGGCCCAGATCGCTGCTCGGGTCGGGCTGGGTATCAGTCAGCAGGTGGTGAGCCCCTTGTTATTCCTCTTATCATTATTATTGGCAGCAGTAGTGGTTTGTATTATACCTTAGTTACTGGACTGCTCTTATCTCAGCCCGTGGGAGTTACATTCCTCCGATTCTCCTCCCCATCCCTCTGGGAGCAGGGGGAGGAAGAAGGCGGGCAGTGAGCAAGCGGCTGCTCGGTTCCAAGTTACTGGCTGGGCTTAAACCACAACAAAGTGTAATAGTGCAGATGGCTCTGAGGTTCAAAAAGTATTGTCTTTTAGGGATTTTGCATGAAATTGCTGAGTTTAAAGGGGGCAGGGGAAAGATGTTTTTCTAATGTCAAGCCCTGCAGTCCTGAGGCTGTGAGTTAAGCAATATTTTGTCTTGAACTTCTTTTGGAGCACCAGAACAATTATTATTGTGCATGGAATTGTGCAATTGGCAATGAAACCTGCACATATTCAACTGCCTCCTCAGGGATGGATCAGAACAGTGTAACTGTATCTATAAACTCTACACTGCTAACAGCAGACACAGCTTCTCCTTTCGTTGAGGAGGTAAGCCCTGTATGTGGGGAACAGAAATACTTGTGAAAGTCTGAAAAGTTCTCCGAGAGTGGAGGCAGCTCTGAAGCCTCTGACGTTCACAGGCTCACTGAAAGAGAGTGGCCATGCATGCGAGCAGCCTCATCCTTCCCAGGCTCTGGAATTCCTTCTGCTTTGTGCATTTAGCCGAACAGCCTTAATCTGCATTCACACAGGAGCCGTCACTTCCAGCTGCTAACATTGTAACCACAGAAGTGAACACACAGTGTTGTGGACATCTCTTACCTTTCTTCCCTGCTCTGTCCAACACAGACCCTGCCTCCATACCGTGGAGCGGGGTTGCTGCAGGATCGCTGGCGGACCTGGAAGCCTATCCCGCAGGAGGTGCTGCATGGAGCCCAGGAAGACCAAGGTGTCCAAGCTCCATTTCTAGCAAAGAGGGCAAGAGAGAACAGAGCATGGGGGTGACCTAATGGTCTGCCCATGTTAAGCTGTGCTTAGCAACAAAACACATACGGCACTGATGGGGGAACCACTGAAGAAGAGATTATTCATTTCAACCAGACCTTATGTCAGTGGAGATTCAGAAAAGAGAATTTCAAAAGTGCTCATCATTGGCCTAGCTTTCCTCCTATTCAAGTCTCTAATAGTTGGAAAGGAAGAGAATGAAGCCAGTGCTGAATGATTCTGAAAACACCTCATAGCATTTGCTGACCAACAGTGTGGTTGCTATAACTCTCACTGACTATTCCCCCATCATGTCTCCCATGTCTCATAATACTGCTTTTCTGAGCCAATGGCTCATCCCAAAGTTGTATCTCCTGAACACTTCTGCACAAAGAGTACAGGTTTTGAGGCTCACAAATGCCAGTTGTGTCGAAGGATGTAAAACAAGCCTCTGCTAATTCAGTAGGTACTGACACTTTAAATCTCCTAGAATCACAGAATCAACTAGGTTAGAAAAGACCTTCACAATCATCAAGTCCAGCCATTACCCCAGGACTGCCAAGACCACCACTAAAACATGCTACTGAGGGCCTTATCTACACAGTTTGTGAACACTTCCAGCCTCACCTACATGGTTTTTGAACTCTTACAGCAATACTACTGCCAGCTCCCATGATTTTATCGCAAACCTCATAATATTTGTTTTTTTCCTAAAGCCTTCAGCATTGAATCCTACTAAGTGGAAACCTCAAATTTCATTAAAAATAACAATAATTGCTTCTAGCTTTCATGACCGCCTGCAGACGTCACTGTAGTGTGACCCTAAATCTGTAGAAACCAGAAGCAATTAAGAGCTCAGACAGGATCGAGTTTCATGGTTTAATGAGGATCACATCTCTGCTGAGCAGCGCTAAGTTAGCCTGAAGCAAATGTGATGTAAAGCCCCTTAGTTCACACCTCAGCAGAGATGTTGGCAAATGCTCTGTGCCTTGCTCCTGCGACAGGCTGAGCACGTGCAGGCAGCTGGCTCCTGCGACGCTGCTGCCATGCAGTGACTCAACCGTGTGCTTACACAGAACCCAACATTTCCATCTTTAACATCGTGCATTTATTAAAGCTCACCTTCCTCTGACTTGGCAGCGCTACTGAACGTTGGAGCAGGAGAGGAGAAACTGTATCTCATCTCTTCTGTGCTGCACTTTTCATTTCATATGGAGCCAGTGGCAATGCTCTGTCTTACACAACGGCCTAATCTTCACACTTGACTGCCTTAAGCCAAAAAATCTCATTTCTTTTGTTGTTTAATAAAGAAAAACCTTTCTAAAAAGTCTAGTCAAAAAAAACAACTCAGGTGCTCTCTGGTTCTTGAAAGCTAAGCTTGAAAACAGATGTTAATTTTCAAAGCATTTACTGAACTAAATTAATAATTCTGCTGGCAAGAAATATTTTCTGGCATAGCACCAATCAGGGCAGAGGATGAAAGTTAAAACCCACATTGCCCTTCACACTTTTTGTATTTGTTATCAACTCTTGCCTGTTCTTGGCAGGTTTATTTCAGAACCCTCTTAGATGTTTCTTCCCTCCTCCTCTTGTTCTTGCATCCTTCTCCCTCCTTCCCTTCCCCTCTCCTGCCCCAAACAAGGTCAAAGCACAAGAAACTCACTTACATGAAAATCCTATTATTCTATCTTACTCTGCCATGTTTTAACCCACCTACTACTTCCTTACTCTTTAACCTAAAAGAATGTTTATATGTAAAATCATTTAAAAAACAAAATCAAACAGAAGGTTGTAGTTACTCCAGAAAAAAAAAGGGGGCATGGTGTGTGTGGTTGGAAGTAATTTCTACTTAAAACTCCTCCAAGGAAAAAAAAAGAAAAATCCAAGCATTCTCATAATCTATTTGTTTTTCAGCATTTTTAACAGAAATAAAGACACCTTCCATCTTCAGATCTCCTGCATTCTAATAGAATTTATCTTTAAACATCCTGCTCCCTCTTTGCAAGACAAAATCACAATGCCATATGAAGTCAATTAAGGGAAATCTGAGGACTGAGGCGGATGTAGGATGACCAGATGTCCCTATTTTTCAAACCATGCTTGTTTTCCTGTGTCTTAAGACTGAATAATCTATTTTTCATCCCCTTCTTAGAAGCCTGCCTCTTTTGCCATCAGAGCAGTGATGAGAACCCCACCCCACTGGCATGCTTTCTGTTTGCCAGTGACATAAAAAAATCTGCCTGGGGAAGGCTTTGCTCAGCCCATGGTGGCAGCACAGAGGCAGGAATGACTGCATGCCTTTTGGTAGCACAGCCCACGACTGGAAGGAGAGATGCCAATTAAAACATGAGTATTGCTGAATTTCTGGTGCCAAGACCAGCACTGATCTCCAGGGATAAGTCTAGAGACAGCTGTCCTTAATGGAATTAATGTTTATGGAGAAGATAAAGTAGATAAAAACTATATTGACCCAATATTTACCAGAATATTGGCTGGCACCACCCTGGTGAAGTAGTGCTTACACTATTGCATCGTCTTTCCTTGAGTCATGACATGATGTAGTCTGAGGGTGGTGGGGTAATATGGACACAAACACTGTGGCTATGTTTGGGCACCTGACTGGAGGACATTTAACTCCCATACTGCTCAATCTCAAGCTTCAAGCTTCCCTGGAAAGGCAGCACTTCAACACAAGCTGAGCTACATGCGTTGAGTTCTGTCCCCGGCAGGCATGCCTCCTAAGCACTGCTCACTGCCAGATGATGATTTGTTGCTTTCACCTAGCCAGCGTGCTGCAGACAGTTCACAGACTCACATAACAAGGCAAACAAGCCCTGCTTGGAGCTAGGCTAGGCCCTGTCTTTACAGGCATTGCTCTGAAGGAGCTCTGCTCACTTTTGGCAATGCAATCTCAGAATCCAAACTCCAAACGACTGTGAGCTTAGATGTTTTTTCTTTAGCTTATTGCTGTTCAGATGGCTAACAATTACCTCTGCCTTACCTCCTCCTAATGGGTCACTACTCACTGTATGGTTGAGGGAAACCAAGGCACAGTGGAGGGAAGGTTAATGTGTACACTAATTTGGGGTGCTCATCTTCTCAGAACCCTTCATTTTTCACTGACTTCAAGCTGGACCTCACATACATTAGATTGGCTGGGATGCAACAACATGGGCACAGAAACACAAGGAAGGAGCTAAGCTGTGGACAGGCACAACAGCTCTTGTTCCCTTCCTAAAAATCAAAAAGATGCTGAGGTACCTTGAGCAATTTGCCACCTCAATCCTGGCCCCTTCACAGCTGCGACCTCCACAGCGTGGACGAGGGCTGTCACATGAACGTGACCTACACATACAGGAGCCTGTGCTGTCCCCATCCGAATGCTCACACAGTTGCCATGGGGACCAAGGCCCCAGTCTTCCATTTGTTGTCAGGTTTTTCACCTAATTTTAAAAGAAGAAAGGTCATTAGTAGCAAGTTTACATTTCTGGAGACAGCCCCACAATAGAAAAGCCAAACAAAGCTGCCGGGGAGATTAGGATGCAGCTTAGATGGGAGATGTCTGTGCTTGTGAGCAGGATTCAAAACAGAGGGTTGTTTTCAGGCAGTGCCACATCAATATTTACCCTCCAAATTCCACCCTGCATACCTAACATGTGCGCACAGGCACCCGAACTGGCCCCGCCAGCACCACACCAGCAGCAAGCATCCATCTGCCATGACACAAAACCACTACACTCCCTCAACGCACACTGCACAGCTTCAGCTTTTCAAGCAACACAACAGCTGGTGCTGATCGTCCCCACTCCATTATGCTCCTGCCTCTGCAGTGCTTGGGACTGCTCCTGCAGAATATTTTCTGAGTTAGGGTTCGCATAACCATAGTGACCAGCTCAGACTGGGGCCTCGCTGAGTTTGGCCCTGTCCAAACACACAGTAAGAACCGGGTCCTTTTCTAATCTGTAGCCTAAATGGCTAAGCTGGGTGAAGGGTAGAAAGTGAAGGAGACGGTGGTGACTAGAATTAATGCTGAGGATCACACAGTGGGCTTAAGAGCAAGAATTCATCTCAAGGCAATTTGCAGACTGACCACACTGCTATTTGTTTCCTCTGCCCTTTGCTTCATGTCTGTTCAGCCCTGAACAGGCTGGGACTTGAGCTTCCCATGCACTGTAATGAAGAAGTACAAAATACAGTAGTCCTGGCAGAAAAAACCATGAGAAACAGAAATATTTCAGTCCAGGACTGGTGAAGACCTTCCACAAGATAAGGTGTCAGAGCTTGCTCCACTGTGCCTTGTTTTAACCAGTGCTGCTAGAAGAGCCCTAAGTTGAGGACTGGGGGAGAAAACTTGCCACCTAAGTTGACTTGAAAAGATGAGTGCTGCCTGTTCCTCCCAGGAATGCTCCCAGGCCACCGCTGCCTTATTGTGCCTACTCCACCACTACTGCAAAATCCAGCAACTCCAGGACCATGTCTGGAAAGCTACCTGAACACCCCTGCTCTGGCTTCCCAAACTGCAGGGCCTCGCAGGCAGGGTGGCATGGATGGTGGCTTCCTGCAAGTAGCTCATCCCCACTGGTGTCACGCATTGGGTGCTGGGATGCTCAGCAGCTTTGGTAAAAACACTGGCAAAGGCAAGACTGGACTTTGCCTCGGTGTCACATGCAACAAAGGGTGATGAAAGGAAGAGGCTGGAACCCTGGGCGAATAACCACTGACAAATCCCACTGTGCCATGCTTCACTGAGCTCTGCAGTCAGCAGGATCAGTCCTCTGGGCTGCCCCAGGGGGGAAATAGCTTCTCCTGCTTTACAGACAGGGAAACCAAGGCACAGAGAGGCTGCAAGCCTGTTCCAGAGCCATGCAGGGAGCCAACCACAGCCACGGGAGGAGTGCTTTCCAGCACTTACCCTCTGAAACATGCTGCTCTGTGCTTATTCTTCAAGTCTGGCTCTACATTAAACACTCACAATGCACCTCTGGTGGGCTGTCATCTTCCCCTCTCATCCATCTACTGCAGCATCAAAAATGTGCAGCAGTGGCATGGAAGTCATTTAGATCGGTTACTGCACTCATCAGGCTGCAGTCAGGGGGTTTCAACAATCTGGCATAAACTTTTATTTGCAATAGATTATCATGTCATTGTAAAAATTTGCCTTGGGCTGCAGGTTACAAGGCAAGATGCCCAGACAAAGGAACACTGAGTTTTGTTGTAGTTGTTGAATTTGTTGTTTTAAACATGCATGCAGTCAAAAATCAATACAGTTGGGTTGCTAAAAGTCAGGAGGGGATCAAAAGAACTATACTTTGTGACACTTAATACTAGATTTTTATCTCCGTTTTCCTCCTGCCTTACAAAAGTCATAATCCAAGTATTGGATCATTTCTATTTATTTTTTGAGCCAGAAAGCCTTGCTGATTCCAGCAGGGAGTTCTGTTCTGAAATCAATGGTATGATATGGCCCGTGGCTTCAATTAAAAAAAAAAGCTGACAAATAATTATTGGCTCATAAGTGATACTGGGAAGCAACCCAAAAGTTAAATAAATAAGCAGCCATAACCAAAATGCTGAGATTTATAAACATGTCATGTTGTGAGTGTGGGAAGTTTTTATACTTCAGAAATTACATATGGATTATTATTCCATCTTTAAACTCATAAAAATAGCTTCAAAAGAGCAAACTTGGGAAGTGGGATAAAACCCCATATGCATTGATCTTTTTCAGGAATGTCTCTACTAGGCAAATCCTTTGTAGCCAGCACAGTGCCCATCAGACAAGAGGATGTATTTAAAAACACATGTGATCAAATGCCCTTATCTTACCTGACAATATCACAAATTCCAAAGTTCTTGTATTTTACAAACTGCCATACTCCCACCAAAGGCATCACTTTTTCATTTCTTCCTTACACCATCTAAGGGCTTAAGTGCAGGATCTAAAAATTCAGACTGACCATTCCTAACCCCCACTACCAGGATATTTTCAATGTTTATTCTCATATTACAGATAAGACTAGAAGCATTCCTTGTTCTTTTGATTCATCTATGCTTCCTCTGAGGATTCACATGTCAACTGCTTATAACTTTGCCAAGCTTTAATTATTTCAGCTGGAAGTTTCCATGTTGGCTGTTTAATAGAAGCTGAAAATTCTTGCAAAGTTTCTGTCAAAATATTTCAATCATTTTTAAAATCTAATCTAGGCAAAATGAATGTCCATAACTAACAACTTTTTCCTTGAAATGAACTTTTTTCAGAGCAAGCAACTGAACTTTATGTCCTTGTAACACCTTTTTGCAACACCCATGAAAAGCCATTCAAATCTGTCTAGATTCTATCATTGGGAGGTGGGGAGGAAAATACTTAGTTTTCAGAGACTCACAGATTTTGATCGTAGCACATCTTCTCTGTGGACTGGGCATGCTTCACTGTGGGTCAGAGCAGGATTATACTGGGCACTGCAGCTCTGAGTAGCTGAGCCCACATAAATTGAGAGCAGGCACCCACAAAAAGGAGTGGGAAGGCTGGCTCCAATTAGAGAAAAAATGGGGTAGCATAAAGCAGACGCCAGATGACTGAGATAGGGGTTTGCTGGACAGACAGAGTGAGATTGGGATGAAAACCTGTGAGAAAGAGCATCATTTGGCTCAGGATAAGAAGGACTGTACATTTCATTGGGAATACTCAATTCCTGACTTGCCAACCACCATCAACAGTGACCCCATGAGCTTGTCTAATGGAGTTTGTTAGCCAAATCTGAAGTTCCTTTCCTGCTGGTGGCTCATGTTGGCACCAGTAAGATGCTACAAAGTAGGATGTGGGTTTTTTCAGTTTTTCTAAAACCAAAAAGCACCTCAGTCCTTTCTCCCAAGCCTAAGAAACAGCATACAATCATGTATTCAGGACTGCCTGATATGGCACATCACATACAGGGAAGAGAAGAACAGCATGTGCAATTTGTGTCCTGTCATTTCTTAATGTTGAAATGTTTGACACTGCAACTTTAGCAATGAGCCTTTGGGAGGTTCTGGGTGTTACCTGGTAATAACATAGATAAACCATTGCCCAAGGTACTATGTTAACACTATATGATCAACCCTCTATCTAAGGTCCCGTAATATCAAGGCTTGAAAGTGGGAATCTGTGGTACAATGTAGTGCTGTACAAAGATGAACAAGCTCTGAACAAGCATGTTTTCACAAAAGCAGCAGTCAAGTTGTGTTAGTGTTGTGGTTGACTCCCACAAATGCCTGGCCCCCGTAGGGTATAATTCAGTAATATGCCAGTTCTGCCTTTAAAAGTTGCTGCATGCCAGTCTCTCAGCTGTGCCAGGACATCTGTTTGTGGGCTAGGCTGCAGAAGACTCACTGATATTATCTGGGTTAGGAGAAGTTTATTTGGGAGGGGTGCCTTTAAACTACACCATGTCACACTTGTATGTGATCTCACACACAGCTGCACCAGCACAGCTGAGTGCCTGGTGCTCAGCCCAGGAAAGTGGGGTGAGAAAAGCCAGGACTTCCTAAGACAGTAATTCATCCAATTAAACTTCCAGAAAGGTCTTTTTCAGGAGAGAAATTTCGCATTGGGTTACTGCATTCCCCTACCTTTTCAGTGGTCATTTGCACATGCTAGACTATTGCCTCTGTTGACCATAACCTTTATTCTGCACTGAACACAAAGAAATACTTGGATATTGCTGATGTAGGTGCTTAAATGAGCCATCCCGCTCCATGCCAGTGGTGAATTCATTCCAGTGAGGGACAGAGGATAAAGAAAAAGAGAGCTTGCATGTGGATTTTAAAGAGCTTGGCAGCATGTCAGCTTGAAGAGTTTAAGGCTGGTGTATGCATCAGAATGAAAGCACCTACCCAGAAACTAATCTACAATGGAAATGTGAAAACAAACGTAAAACTAGCACCCAAGAACAGCCAAAGCTCCTGAATATTCTGCGCTAGATTTTTATGACCTTGAAACAATGATCTGGAGTAGCCTGTTCCCTAGTGTGCACCACAGCAGACATGTTCAAACTAGAGGATTAACACTTCACACACCTATCAACAGACATAGGCATTAAGCAGGACGAGATAACAGCATGGGCAATCAAGGAGCACTGCATCCCAGTTCAACACAGGAGGGTTATAAGCACACAAGGCTCTGAATCCAGCAATGAAAACCTTAAGCCTGCCAAGCTGAGGATGGATTGAAGTAATGACTAATATTTCCTGGGAAAATATCTGAGAAGTAAGGAAGATAAGAGGAATAAACATCCCAGAACCTCCAGACAGAAATAGCATACTGAAGATACAACCTATCCCGTCTTCTCTCTCTACCAGACTTAGCAGTATTAACATGCTAATTGATGTTAGATAACAACAATGGACATTAATGAGAATTTCCTTGTACTCTCTCCACCCCCCATTTATTTAACAAGACTGGTTTTCCTCCCCAGCCACACTGCAGGTACCGTTCAAA